AAAATTTATGAGTATACTAATTCTGATTTTTTGTTTCACTGGGGAAGGGCCTAATCAAGCTTTCAATTCAGGGTCAGCACAGGCTGTGCTGGTTGCTTTGGGGAAATCTGTAATGCGGCGCACGTCACTGAATAGGATTTTTCAGGTTTGTAACTCTCTTAATATGAATTCCTTATGCTCTGATCTTGTTTGTTGAATGGCATATAGCTTCACTATGTGCTCTGCATTTTGCACTTATGCAACTACTGGTTATTATTATCTCATTTATCTGCATAGTAATTTAATGCCCTTTGCTTGTTACACCAATTGCTGGATCAGTAACATGCTTATTTTCTCAGGGCAGATTTTTTATGAACAAACTACATCTAAAGAGATTTGGCTCAATGGTACTTCCATCCCATTGAGGGTTAGGTTCTGGGTTAAATCCCAGCTTGTGAAAAAAATGGTTTTGCAACTTACCAAAAAAACAAACTACACTATAGAATTTTACATTCATGTCTTTTTGATTTTTATGGTCATAGAACTGTTTGGATTTGTTGTATGCTTAGGCAGAAAAGGCGCTTGTTCCAGTGGCAGTTCTGTTTTCTGGTGGATTGGATTCCATGATTCTTGCGGCATTGTTGGATCAATGTCTAGATCCTAATTGTAAGTGTTGTTATACATGCTAATTTATCATTTTGCTTCCCAGAAGGATCTATTTTATAATTGAAAAAGAGTACTTCTGAAAGATTGGAAAATCATGACCCTGTGTTGCTATTCGGTTTCGTGGGGTCTACTAGCTACTACTAACTTTAAGTCTTATTGTGTGTTTTATAGTTCCAGTTCTAATATGAATTCTTTGAACAAGGACTATGGGATCTCAGATAACTCTTTGAACTACTTTCTTCTGTCTTTTTCACTTCTTCTTTTTCTCAAATTCCCAAGTTGAGTTTGTAAGGGGCATTTCTAATCAAATATAGCGTTTGTTTTGCTTGGGTGCTAAAGATCTTTCTTTTCTGTTGTAGTGCCAAATCTGAAGACAATAGAATTGTTTAAGTTTGTGCACCCTAATCCTGAGCTTGCAAATTATTTGAATATCTATTTGCAGATGGAATTGATCTGCTTAATGTGAGTTTTGACGGCAATTCTGCTCCTGATAGAATCTCTGCTAAAGCAGGAGTAAAGGAACTTAGAAGGATAGCCCCTTTGAGAAGGTATAGCTTACATTTGTCTTAAACCTAGTGCTGTCTGTTTTTTCTTTTACTTAGTAACTTATGCTCTATTTGGTCTAGTTCTAAAGCCAAAGATGTCTTAGATGTTTCTCCACATAAAACTAAAGGTGACAAAATAAACTTCATAAGTTTGGTCATATTTGATGGAGCTAAGCGTGGGACTTTTCTTTTGGAACGAGTAAAGATTTGGATCCCAAAAGATAATTTTGAAGTATATAAATTAAGTTGGGTTATTTGTATATGGGCGATACTCCTTTGGTACCTTTGTTTATTTATTTATTTTTTAAATAACTTGGTACCTTTGTTCATAATAACACTTTTATCTTTTATTTAAAGAAAAAAATTAAGTTGGCTATTTCTTCTTTTATAAAAAAAAATAATTAAATTATTATTATCAAGTTAAGCTTTGGAGACAATTAATTACTCAATTTTTTTACATGGTCTCAAAATTAGCTGCAAGAATTTAATTTTGGCTCACTTTCGTATTTCAAATTTAAGGTAAATTACACAGGTGTACTTTGTTGTTAGAGTTAGTCGTAATTGGGATTATCTTTTGAAAAGAATATAACTCAGTCTGCTATTTAGGCATATATTTTAACTTAGTCAAAGAATTATTGTTCAATTCTATACTTGGGAGTCCATGAGTTTTGAGCCAATTACAACCTGGTCGATTATTTAAAAATTACCATTAACTACTTCTAAATATATAATGTTAAACTATTAAAAATGTTTGATGCTGCTTAAAATTTAATACCACCTTCTAAACGTATAATGTTTTTTTTTTGAATTAACAAGTAATAAATGTATCACTAAGTATAGGCATCAAGGAGTACAAACCCATGTACAAAATTATTTACAAGTTAGTAAGGAAATCAATTAGTTCTCCTAAATTCTCCATGAACTACAACGCATGACCTATAATCAAACGATTGAGGGTCTGAAACCATCTCTCGAATTTTGTCAATACCCTTTTTCACCCCTCATAAATTTTCCTATTTCTTTCTTCCCACACTACCCAAAAGATTGCAAGGGAGATAAACCCCAAATGTTTTTTTTTTCAGCTCAGCCAATCCCTTCCATGCCCATCATTCATCACTTATAGCACTCGTCATAACTCAATTAAAATCAAGAATCCCATATGCCATAGACCACAAGCTATATGCACTAGGACCCCAAAATAGAATATGGTTGTAAGTCTCCTCCACCCTCTTGCATAAGCAGCACAAGTTTACCATAATCTTTCATCTCTTTTTAGCTTATCGATGTTCAAAATACATCCATGGCCTGCTTCCCAAGCGAAGAAAGCTACCTTGGGAGGGACCTTCACCTTCCATATTTATCTGTATGGAAAATTACTCTCAATGGGCTCTTTCTTAGCGAAGTATCTGTAGAAGGACCCAACAGTGAATTTTTCGGAAGCACTGAGTGTCCAAACTGGTTGGTCATAATCCTCATCCGGTGAAACCGACTCCTATATACTCAACAGAACTTCATATTCATTGATTTCTCAATTGTTGAGGTTTGACAAGATCTCCACATGCCATTTCCTACTTCCTTAACCATCTCCAAATGCCTCTTTAATAGAAATGTCTTTATATCGAGGTATAACATAAATCTGCAGAAACCTGTCTCTCAACACTCCACCTTCAAACTAACAATCCTACCAGAAGCCATTGATTTTTACAATATTCTTTACAATAGTTAAAGGAATAATCTTTACAATATTCTTTGTGGAGTGAATCCCACCCCATGCGCAAACTTCTGTCATCACCAAACCCAAAGAGACCCAAACAATACCCAGTAAGTTATAAATCATACACCACAAATCATACTCCACTGGGCAGCTAAGGAGGAGGTGGCAGCAGGATTCCTCTGCCTCCCTGCACATAAAACAGTGATTTGCGAGGCTTAAATCCCTTTTTTGTAATTTGTCAAGAGTTAGAATGCATTCCCGGCAATCTTCCCAGCCAAAAAAGCGATTCTCGGAGGAAGATTGGCTTTCCAAATCAGATTGTGAAGGAAAGAGTACCCTCTGCTGGTATCGTTATCAATAATCCATTTATAATATGAAGACACAGAGAACTTTCCCTTTTTGTTCAGCCTCCAAATAGCATGGTCCGATTTATCATTGATTTTGTATTGTGCAATCAAACCCAATAACTCCAGATAATCCCCAACTTCCTACTCATTCAGATTACGTTTAACATTAACCGACCAAGAGCAGCTGCCATTCGCCCAAGAAATTTTTTTGCAACATTAACAAAGAAAAATCTTTCATTTGTCCATGCGCTTTCATCCAATGAGAGGCCAAGAAAGAAAACTTATACCAAAGAAGCAAAAATGGGAAGATTTGATCTGTGAATATCCTTGCATTTCTGTCATGCCAAATCACACTCAATCCAACAAAGAAAAGCCCATGTAAAAGAGCCTCAATCTGCTTGATAGCAAAGCTCGGAAAAAGCAAAGAAAGAAAACCTTCCTAGGGTGCTAGGAGAAGAAGCCCAAGAGACACCAAAGAAAGATTAGAAATTTTTCTAATGAAGAAAGAGGTGGTGATGAGTCTCCACAGCTTTGTAGCACATTATGCACACTCCTAGGGACAAAGCCTAAATTAAGAAATCTAACATTAATTATCTACCCGAGTCATTGACTTTGGAGTCTCAACCTTTCAGTTCAAACCAAACTTATCATCCTGTACGACAAAAAAGGATTAAAAAAAATCCATAAACAATTTGGCTAAGAGAGACAAAATTTTACTATAAGGGTTCCCAATATCAAGCCATCCATCAATCTTGGACAGGAGACATGCCTCCCAACTAAGTGCTCCCTCATATATTCACTCATTGTTGACTGAAGGAATTTTCTCATCATTTTCAATTTTCGTAGTATTGTATGGTGGGAATTTTGAACAAAGAGAGGAAATAAAGGGGAATACTAAAAAAGTATGATTAGATATCTGTCACCAAGGAAGAAAAGAGCACCCTTCTAGCATTTAACACGCTTAGGTACTTCAATAACTCAAAGATCCCAAAAGGAGGCTATGAGGATTGCCTTCCCAAAGGACACCTTGATTATTGAAAGGCTACTCTTAGATGTCACACTTGGCTGATGAGTTAATCCTCTTAACTCTCTGTTCCTCAATATTAAGGTTTGCAAGGCTGTTCTTTCTAAGTTTAAGACACCTTGATTATTGAAAGGCTACTCTTAGATGTCACACCTGGCTGATGAGTTAATCCTCTTAACTCTCTGTTCCTCAATATTAAGGTTTGCAAGGCTGTTCTTTCTAAGTTTAACATGTAGACCTTATATACCTTCAAAAATATGCAAAATGGTTGGCTCTCTACAGAGCTTTACATGGTCATAAGACAAGAAAATTATTGTTTCATCCCACAACAGAATGGGGAATGTCCACCTTGTCATGACCAACCCTAAGACTCTTAAACATTCCTCTAGATAATATATGATTCAAAACATCAATGAAAATTGTGAAAGGAAAAGAGGAAAGGGGGTCTCCCTGTCTCAAACCATGCTTTCCCAGAAGCACTCTCTAGGTTTTGCCATAAGCAAAACAACAAAAGCCACAAAAGAAAGACAACCAGATATCCAACTCCGTCATCTAACCAACATTTTTCTTGCCTAAAACTATTTCTAAGAAGCTCCAGTTTACTTGATTATTGGCTTTCTCAAAGTCCAAGTTAAACACCAAACCTTTATCTCAAAATTTCCTACCTTCCTCCACCATCTCATCAACAATAACAAAAGCATAAAAAAATCTGTCTATCTCTAGCAAAAGCATATTGTGAACAGATCTCATCTCATTGAGCAATTCACTCAACCTCAAAGATGGCATTTTGGTAATAATCTTATGTTTAGTCGTAATCAAATTGATAGGGCAAAATTGGACACCTTATTAGAGATCATTTTTTCAGGATTAAAATGATAAAAAGTAAAGTTTATACGCGTGCCATTAAGGTAACATTCTTTGAAGATCTTAACCAAAATTGCCCTTAACGACATATTAATAACTTTGGGAATTGCGATAGTTGAACTATCAGGTCTTGGAGCCATATCGATATTATCATCCTATATAGCTCTCTTGATTCAAATTTCATGAAAAGGTCTCTTACCTTTGTCTTGCAACTTCTCTATAAAACTTGAAACCCTCAACCCTTTGAAGTACGTCCAACCACCAACTCCTTATGCTCTTAACAAAATCAATATGAGTCAACCACATATTATCATAATAAGATGTAGGAACGCCTCTCAGTTGACTAGATTCCTAGAGAATAGGGAAGTCAGAAATTGGGTACGAAAGAACCTCTTGGACCAAATCAAGGAAATAATCTTCCCAACTATTGGGAACTAGGAACTAGTCAGTACAAGAGAAGACAATCCTACCTCTATTCACCGACTAGGTAGATTAGGCATTGAAAGAGGAAGATCCCTTAGCTAAAAATCCTTAATAAAAGAATTGAAACCCCTCATAGTCATTGTAACTCTACTCTTCTCTGAGGAATCTCTACAGGAGCGTGAAATCACCTCTAATACACAAAAAACAATTACATAACCTTGAGACATAAGAGAGCTTCTCTCAAAGAAAAGACAGAAGGCTAGGATGGGGAGGCTCATAAACACAAGGGGACCACCAAGACCCCTTGCCCAAAGTTGTTCTAAAGGACCGAAAGATGATTTAATAAAAGGCTGTCACCTTAGTGTCGTAAATCACAAGAAGACTTCCGTGGCCCCACAAGATGGACTCAACAACCAGCCTTGAACCTAGAGTCCTAAGTGCTATGCACTAACGATGAGTTGAGGCTAGCCAATTAGTTTCATAAAGCAAGATAATATCCGGATTAACTCTAGAGATGACCTCCTTAATCTTCTACCTTCTTCAAGGCATTATCAAGACCATTGACATTCCAATTGCTAATCATTATAAAGAAATAGACTTTTTCTTTTTTCTGAAATAAAAAGTACTCGTA